AGTACTTTGCAGCTAACAGTGCCTTTGACGCTGTTTTTACAATGCCATTGTTAGGCGGAGTTAGATAGGAACAAAACACATGAGCTTTTTCTACGTAAAGAACATTTTGACGTTGATAGACGTTTTAGCGGGTTTTGAAACTAGGCGACTCATTTATCTAGACTGAAAGTACACAGTGAGCCGTACTACCGCGATAAAGATAAAAACCAAGTAGTAAAAAATTATCAAAAAAATAATGTAAGGGTAAATAGCCTACGCTTGTTAAAAAATGCGTATCGATTAAGACATTTATGCCTGGTAAATCTTGGTAAATGTTGTGTTGTAAAATTTTATCTCCATTCTTTATCAATACATTTAATCAGGGCATCAATAAAACTAATCATGTGTGTTGTTCATGAATAAAACGTAACACATGATATAATACATAATAAACTTAATAAAATAATGATTGCATGTGCAGTCTCAATCACCGGCAAGTAATTGATTGAAAACTAAATTATTGTATTATCATCGGTCCTTGAGAAGTGTGCAGAATTTCAAGATTTCAATAATCTGACCTTTTAAAATGGGTAAAAATCGAGTAATAATTAAAGACAATAAATCGTTTCAGATAGTAGAAAAATAGACATAAATTAAAAATACCTTTCAATTAAAATAACAAAGTATTTAATTAATAGTGGAAAGGGAATGCATTTCACACAAAAAAAGGTAAGAAATATTTAAACGGAATATCAAGAGCATGGAGTAAGGTAAAGGCAAGGAGAACTATATCTGTGTATGAAAAGTGTCCGTCAAAGTTCGTTAAATTGGGGGCGCCACAGAAGCGAAAAATTTACATTCAATTGGCTTAAATAATAATTAGACACTGTGTACTGGACTGCGTTAATATTCTATGAGTTCTACAGACAATAAATATATTAAAGTAAAATGTATAACTTCATTCCGTCTACAACAGCTATATCGTAGTTTTTCGTAAGACCTCAACCACTATTTTCTGTATACCGCTGAACTCTTTTTCAACTTTCCCCCCGTATGAGATGGTTCTCCGTGCCTCTCTCCACCATATTATTCTAGCAGAGCTTCCGCAAAAACAAAACAGTACCCACCTTAAAAAAAATTACCTAATGAAGTCGCTAATGCAATAAAATATTCAGGGAAGGAAAAAAATTAGCGGAAATGACGGCCCCTAAATGTGCAACCTAAACTTTCACCATTTTCAACTGCTTTATTCAACAAATATTAAATGGCGATTCCAGGAGAATAGGTCATTTAAGTAATAGGTATTTTATTGGTGGTGTGGTGACGGATTAAGAATACAGAGTGTCACCACCCCTATTCATCCCGTGGGTGTCGTAAGAGGCGACTAAGGGAGAAAACTACTCAGGACAACAACACTGCAGAGAGAAGGAAAACTTGAAACAAACCCTATACCAACCCGTTTGGCCAGCGTGGTATAGTAGGCCAAAACCTCCTTTCTAAGGGGAGGCCTATCTCCAGCAGTGGACTATTAAAGGCTGTTGATGATGATTTGAAGCACTGATTGCTAGTTGGAACCTAATTCATGGATGCACTACGTTCCTAGCATTTAGATTAGTTGGAGATTAATAATAATTCGACTAATGTGCAACATCGATATAGATAGGATATCGATGTTGCTAATATTCTTTATTGACAAAAAAATAGAGACCACCTTAGGTGTGGAGTTACCATTATTTGTGTTTTATCATTTCTATTTAGTACATTGAGATGTGTATTATGTGTAACATAAATGATTTTTCCATTGTCTTAGAAGCCTGATTTTTAAAACTTCAAGCATCTTTTTGTAAAAAGTGAGTTGAGAAACAGACAGACAGAGGGACAACAAACTAAGGGTCCCTTTTTTTGTTTTAAGAAACAGAACCCTAAAAATACTAGATACTTCACTTCACAAACTAAAGATACGTTTTATAAACAGATTTTACTAAATGCATTTATTATGCAGACAGACAAAAGATAACCTAGGTATTGATTGTTAATTTAGCAAATAAAATACTAAGCTTCCTTATAAAATTTATGGCAATTGATACTAAGTAAGATGTTATCAAAAAACGTGTAAAATAAAGAAATAAAACAAATAGCTTAAATTGCAATATAAAAATATAATGATTTATCTAATCATAAAGATACTTTTATATATTTCATGACTAAACTATTTGTAAACAATAAATGGTTCATTGTGGGAACAAGAAATTTACCGAACTTCTACAGAATTAAAGGACTCACACTTCCCGTTTCACAGTTCAAGTTACTCGTAAAACCTGCAAAAGGAAAAGGAAAGCAAAAGTAAACCCGCAAACCGAACCGGTAAATGATTAATAAATTAATTAATTTTTAAACACTACACCAATGCTCTAATGACTCCTTTCTGTGCCGATATTTCTTTACAAACATTCAGTAACACTGCACAAAGTGCCTACACTCAGTAGGCTTAGACAATTGTTACACAGTTCGGCTGATCTTGGAACACCCAGACCGTTGATTGTTGTTTAGTTTCAGTATCATACGCATATATCCAAGATTTATCACCTGTGTAGATATCATAGACAGCTTTTGACGCACCCTGATTGTACTTTTGTAACATTTTTTCACACCAATCGACTCGAGCCCGTTTTTGGTCAATCCTCAAGTGGTGCGAAAGCCAACGTGAACAAAATTTTTATAACTACATGTTCGTGTAATATTGTATACATACTCGTCATACTTATTCCCAGAGACGCATCTATCTCGCGATATGTAACATTATTAGTTCCCGCACAGCATTCATATTTTGAGGTACAACAACCGATTTAGAGCGACCTTCTTTATATTCGTCCATGAGCACAGACCGCCCTCGATTAAACTCACTAAACCAGTGATACACAGTTGTTTTTGATGGTGCTTCGTTCCCAAAAGTCGAAGTGAGTTGATCCGTGCACTGTTTTTGAGCTAGTCATCGTTGAAAATCTTAATAAATCATAGCACGAATATTTTCATGAGTTAAATCCATAGTGATAAAGATACGCAATTTTCAAAAAGACGCCACAAAGGATAAAAAAAATGACAGCTACATGAAACAAATTGTATTCTTCAGCCAAAGAGTTAGATTTTTAAATGTTATGATTACTTTTTTAATCATCATCATCATCAGCCTATCGCAGTCCACTGCTGGACATAGGCCTCTCCCATTGCACGCCACTTAGATCGATTTTGGGCTTCTCGCACCCAGCTCCTACTTAATATTTAATATTATTATTATTTAATAATAATAATATTAAATATTAAGTAGGAGCTTTATTAAATATTAAGTAGGATTATACTTTTTTAATATTGTTCTGAAACTGGCCAGTACCGGATACATTTTAAGAGCCCCTGTATGTTTACTTTTACGGCTTTTTTGGTTTTATTAGTTACACACGAGGAAAAGTTAAAAATGTTAAAACAGATAGATACCCACGCAAATTAATACTATAGCCAGTTTAAGTAAAACGAGTGATAACTAGCTCTAACCAAAAGCATTTACTATAATGAACGCAACAGGCATCGTCCAGATCAACGATAATAAAGGCCGGCCTGTTACAGTTCACACATCAGACACACGAAAATCTACGTTAGTTACGGTGTCGCTGCGGCGCAAGAGGCTCTATTGGAATGATCCCACAGCCTCACAAAAAACCGGTGTAAGCAATTCATTGCTTTTCACCGAGAGAATGTGGGCTTGCCTTAATACATAGGTATTTATATTACTTACCCTTAATCTTTATATTAATTCTATTTTCATCATCATCATCATCATCATCAGCCTATCGCATGGCCTCTGCCGTTGCACTCCACTTAGATCGATTTTGGGCTTCTAATTATATTTTAATTTATTTAATTATTATATAATTAATTAATCTTGAAATGAATACATAATTAATTCATTTAATGTTTGTAATGTAGAAAAAATGCAGAGGCTAAAATTTTAAATCAATTTTTTTTCGGACATGTGACACACAACGCCACCTAGTTTCAAATTAAGCAGAGCTTGTACTATGAAAGCTAGATTGACAGATAGATAACTTGTACACTTTTTTTGTAAATACATATCGCACCTCTGATCAAATACAGTAATAACTTGAAAATTCTTATTTAAGCGTTTTTTTAATAAAACGTACCGCTTTCGCCCGTTTTACGCTTACAAAAAAGAAATACCACTGTATCTCGATTACTTGTCAATAGATGGCAGTTAGCACAGTATTTCATTGCAGTAAAGTTGTACGTGCGGTGCGCGCATCCAATCTCAGTTAGTGTGACATTACGTGTTGTACCGGGTGTTCGTGATTTTGGTTTGAGTGATAGTGTTATAAAACGAAATAATACTATACAAGTTGACTGGTAAGTACGCATTTTTTACATGTTTGTTATCAAATTGAGTAACAAATTGAAATGTTACTGTATATGATATTATTTTTTATAATAATGTTATCTAAATTATCTTAAACACAGTTTTATTTCAAAATATAACGGTGTTGTAGAAACATTGTAATAGTATAACGTTTTCAACAAAATAAAAGAGAGTTATAAGTTGAATTGCCACTGTAAATGATTTATTTAAAGTAATTAATGCGCGGATACTCAGTTCTATTACGTTATATCGTGAAATATTACTGTATAATATTACGAGGCTCGGACCTATTTTATTAAACTGTAAAACTCTAATACAGTAATAAATTAAAATGTTACTATTTAAAGCATTATGAAATAGGAAATTCCTCAAATTAATCATAAACCATAGTTGAGACTTTAAGATATAACTGTTTTCTATAGATTCGGAAAAAAAATTAGGTGTTACAAGTTAACTTATAACTGTATAGTGTAATAATATTTAACTATTTGTGATTCATACCCAACATTAATTGGTGTTTTTGGAATTAATTTATTGTCATTTTTGTACAAAGCTAGATTATAAAAATATTTTGCTTTTTTGCAGGTACTCAATTAAAATGAAGAGAAGTGAGGCTATGCTGCGACTAGCCTTAAATAACGATATTATTAACATAACATCTAATAGGGAAACTTTTACTGGTAAGTCATGAGTTCGAAAAAAAATTTTGATTCTCAAAACAAATATACCTACTTAATGTTCTCCTTAAATATTTTTTTAATTTACAGAAGAACCGTGTACTTCAAATTACAGAAGCAAAGAATCTGATGTAGCAAAAAGTAATATTCAGCTTGAGTATGACAAAGGTACTTGTGGGAACTATTAATATCATTTTAAATGTATCGGTTAAATAAAATCTAATTATTCATAATTTTTATATTGTTGCAGAAAATTTAAGATCCTCAAATAATATGCAAATCTCCATTAATGAGCAGTGTGAAGGATGGGATAAGAGAAACGCTTCTGAATTAAGTGATGTGATAGTAGAAAGCGAAAACAATAAAACTGGTAGCTCATACTCGAACTACAGTTCTTCCTCGTCATCTGATTCTTCTTCCTCATCGAACTCTTCAAGTGACGAAGATAGCGATGACTCTGTACGCGATCCCAATTTTGTCGCTGAACAGCTTCCACCCCGAAATTCTTCCAGTGAGTCTGATTTAGAAGACAATAATGAAAACGTTCCAGTGACCAGTGAGTCGACTTCATCAAACCTTACGGTATCAATTGCAAGTACATCTAGATTATCATCTAGAAAACGACAGGCTAAACCAGCAGAATGGAAACAAAATAAATCTAAAATTCTTAGGAATTCTGGCGCCGCTTACATTAATGTTAAAAACGTACATATGAGGGGTAAGTATATTAAACCCCCATGCGGAGATAATTGTAGGTTAAAATGTAATAACAAGATTACTGATGAAGAGCGAAAACAAATATTTGAAGTTTATTGGGGGCTTAAAGACATAACTCGTCAGAGACAATTTATCAATCAATGTATGACATGTATAATCAGAAAATATAGGTATACTACGACTGAAAAAGGGAGACTGCCAAATAATGCATTTTATTTCAATATTATGGGACAGAAAATAAGAGTTTGTAAAACATATTTCATGAACACTTTAGATATTAATAGCAGGGTAATAAATACGGTAATTTCTAAAAGAACTTCGATAAACACCGTTGAAGAAGATAAAAGGGGAAAACACCAAAACCATCATAGTTTTGCCTGTAGGTGTCAAAGATTCAGTACGTAACCATATCAATTCTATTCCGCGAATTGAAAGCCACTACTTACGTAACCAAACTAGTAGACAGTTTATTGAGGGTGGGAAGACTATCTCAGATTTACATCGTGACTATAAAGAAGACTGTATTAAAAGAAATGTACCTTACGCTAATTATGTAATGTATGCGAAAATATTTAATACAGAGTTTAATTTAGGTTTTTTTACGCCTAAGAAGGATCGCTGTGAATTGTGCATTGCCTATGAAAATGCCAGAGATGATGAAAAGTATAAATTGGAAGAAAAATATCAACATCATCAACAACAGAAAGTACTGTCCCGCGAAGAGAAACAAAAAGACAAAGATAGTTCTGACAAGAATATAGTAGCAGTGTACGATTTACAAGCCGTGTTACCAGTACCAAAGGGAGACGTTTCTGTATTTTATTACAAAAGTTAATTAAATTGTCTAAACTTTACAATTACCGATATAAAAAATAAAAAAACTGAATGCTACTTTTGGCACGAAGGTGAAGGTAATCGGGGTTCTGATGAAATAGGTAGTTGTTTACTCAAATACATTGAAAAAGTTATTAGTCCAGCTAACGACTGCGATGATGCTTATAATATTACATTTTATTCGGATAATTGTGCTGGCCAAAATAAAAATAAATTTATTATTGCTCTTTATGTTTACTGTGTCTTAAAATACTCAAATCTTCACTCTATAACTCATAAATATTTGATTTCTGGACATACACAAAACGAAGGGGACTCCGTCCACTCCGTTATAGAAAAGAGCATTAAACGAAGCTTGAAATCGGGCCCCATCTACGTACCGTCTCAATATGCACAAATCTTAAGATCTGCAAAAAAAACTGGCGAGAGATACAACGTCAATGAACTTTCATATCAAGATTTTATATCTTTGAAAAATTTAATCAGTGACATTCGAATGACTACTAGCAGTATGAAAATTAACGAAGTGAAAATTTTGAAATTTTCCAAACACACCCCGGATGTACTATATTACAAAAAATCTTATGATGACGATACTTTTTTGGAGACCAAGCTTTGGCGCAGATCTCCCCAGTCCTTACCCGAGTTAAAGTCAGCTTATGACGGACCTCTGCAAATAAGTGAAAGAAAAAGAAACGATTTGTTAAGTTTGGTAGCCAATAATCATATTCCCCACTTTTATTCGCCATTTTACCAACATTTTTGTTACATACCCTAAAACAATAGTTAGAAGAAATCTGATGAAACCTTAACATTTTACTACAGTATTTACTACTTTTTTTTATTTAGTTTACAGATAGATAGATTGATTGATTGATTGATCAAACTATTTCTTACGAGTACGTATGATAAGACTGATAAGTGTTTACGAGACTGATTAATATTACGATTAGATTAAGATTTTGTTTGCTTCAAGTTCAACAAGTTTTTATTTTAGTTAAGAGACACTGATTTACTTACTTTTATAATAAGTATTGATTGTTTTGTACTACAATTAATTTCGTACAAGTATTTTAATAATATTACAAGTGATAACAGGAATAAGATCTCAAGTACTTTTTTTTTATATATATAATTTAGTAAGACTTTTAATTTTGTTACGAATTATTATATTTGATGTTTAATTTGGTAGAAATAAAGAATGTTACAACATAAATACAGAATTTTATTTGAAATAATTTAATAATCTTTGATAAAATAGAGTTATAACCAAAAATTTTTTTTATAAAAAAACAGTAATTTGAAATAACTAATTAAACAGGTAAATAGCACTTTCTATAAGCTTTATATTGATATATAACTTGTATGTAATATTTGAAAAAAAAGTCCGAAATTCTCGTTCCAAAAAAATAAGTTGAACACTTTTGTTTATCCTGAACATTTTAATTTTTTGTGTTATTACTCTATTTTATCGGAGGTGCGATATGTATTATACACAGAAAATACCCAAACTCCGAAACAAATTTTGCAGATCATATAAACATTTGGTTCGAACTAGAAATCGAACTCGAGACCTCAGCAACATCAAAGCAATATGTAAAGTTAACAATAATGTAAAAACGGCCACTTAAAACTTGATCCAGTATTTATTTTGAGTAGAAGTCTACATATATAATAATCAGAGTTTAGGTTATTTAGGCAACGAAATATAAACAAGACGCCCGAAACGTTTGAAATTCGTCATCCCGGCGTTTTTTATTATTATCTAGTCTGTACTAAAATGATAAAATATTTCTTAGGGAACCAAATAAAATAAATATTTGTACGACATCTTGTTTCCACACAAAATAAACTTATTTTTCGTAATAAAAATAATAAAATAAGTTCTTGCAAGAAGTTTTGACGTTTCCATGAGCGTGTAACGGAATTAGTTCTGTCAAAATCATGTAATAGTATCTCATTTAATTTTATGGAAGATATAACCTCAATTCGCTATATTTTTTAACAAAATCGAATCTTGTTAAGGCTGCACCTAAATAAACATGAGAATTCACCCAAGTTTACTGGGTGGGGCAACTCAGAAGAATGCAAGGAGACCGCAGAAAGAGCCAGTACCGTTTCAGATGTTATTGCCATTACAGTTAAAGAAAACAGTATCAGGCAAAGGAGATAAACTCAAAGAAGCAGCTTGTATGCAAGAAATGGCTCTCATGTTTGCTTGCTTTAAGAAATCTGACTTTAACCAGCAGGAATGCTTAAAAGAAGTTGCGGCGTTCCAAGGATGTTATAACGAATACAACAAAAGAATGACAACTCAAAGAGAGCAAGGAAAAAAAGGTATACTTGTGCCAGGAGAGAAAAAATTGACTCATAGACAATTGAATCAGTTAATGAGAAGCTTTCCGCCAAAATAATAATTGTTATTGTGAATAAAGTATGTATCTATAAATTAATAGTAGTAATAAAATTAGATAATGTTCCTCAGTGTGTTCCTGAAATCCTAATAATTATGATCGCTGTCTTAATTGAAATACTTAGTATTATGTGAATTTCAAGAAAAATATACATATTAAGCAACGCAGAAACTGTACTTCTGTTTCTTTTAAAAACAGTACTTAGGTAGTTTCCAGGATAATATTCATCATCATCATCAACAGCCTTTAGTAGTCCATCAGCTGGACATGAGCTTCTTAGAAAAGACATTTTGGCCTACTCTACTACGTTGGCATAGGGTTTGCTTAACTTTTTCTTCTCTTTACAGTACTATTGTCTTGCATAGTTTGCTCCCTTAGCTCTTATGACACCCATGGTGTGGCACTCCGTGTTATTGATGCGTTACCACCCAGATAAGAAATTGATTGCCAAAACTTCTATGTGATAGTTCTAGTTATAAAATGTTTGGTGTGAAAGCACATCTCACTTATAATTTATTTATTTGTGGAAACTCTTAAGTTGTCACCAGCTAAGATTTTTAGTGAACTATTGGAATTGTTAGTTAAAATTGGAGTGCCCCACTAAAATATTCATCTAGCCGTTGCTGCTAGTGACCAAATGTGGGTTATAACTTTGCTTTATACCTCTCAATAAGCTAAAATCCAGGAAAATTCAAACTTAGTCAGTATGTTAGGAAAGGATCAAATTGATTCATAAGGATGTGTGTGGAAGGGAACACAAATGCAATACTTATGTAGCTTTAAGAAAACAGATCAAATTTAGCTATTAATTTACAAGACCTAAAATATCCCCAAAATATTTAATAATACTGCATCTGCGATGGGGATCCAGAATTGTAAAAAAATTAAATTGTTAAATTAAAACAATTTCATTTAATTGCATTTATTAATAATATACTTCAATTGCATTTCTTAGAATAAGAAAAATATTTTGTAAACTGTATAAAATAGCATGATCATTTTGGGGCAGTGTGAATCCATTGCGGTGAAGACACCTGAAGCTCTATGCGTCTCACTGTGATTAATTCATCATCAATTTCATGTATATTGTAGAATCTTTCCAACTGTTCTATGGCTTTGTCCTCCAGCTGAAACACAAACAGTATAGAACTATATAACTGAAAGTTATTTATGTAAAATACTAAACAGATTATGTATGTATGTATACGGATATAAAGAATAATATAATCGCTTGGTTTTTCAGAAACAATTGAGATATAAGAATATCATTACAGTATGCAGTACTATATATATGTACTGATTTATTAAAAATGAAATGGCTCAATTTTCATTTGATAAGTTTCTGCTATTTCAGCACTATTGCAAGTGCCATGATCACCTATGAATTAGATGAGTTCATCTGTACTAACTCCCAACTAATTCCTTGTATGTAATTGAATATCTCATTTATAATAACAATAACTAATCAAGTGATAATGACTATGGTTGTTTAAATCAATATATTGACCAACATAAAAAAGTGTGTGAAATGTCATATTAAATGTTGTTAATACCTGTGTTAAAGTAAGTGGTTTAGTCATGATTCTGGAGTGATCTTCCTTTTGCTTTTTCTGGGCTGTCAGAATTTTATTGAACTCGATGGGTTTAGAATTTGGGCTGCTACTAGAAAGAGGTAATTCACAAATCTTCCATGGATTTTTAGGTTTTTCGGGAGGACTACCAATATCAATTTTGTTAAAATGCTCTATGATACTTTGCGATGCAGAATCTATGCCCTGCAAAGCTAACTTTTTCCGTTGTTTCTGAGATAATTTTGGTCCCACGTGACTAATAGTCACATTACCCTGTGGACTCTTTATTGAGTCTTGTGGTGAAACTGACATACGTGATGAAGTCGGTATTTTATCTTGTATTGTCATGGCACTTGAAGAACTACTTTTGGTAAGTTTTGTAAAAGATTCGGTAGGAGTTTCATTCATTATATCTCTCGCACTACTAATAGCTTTTAATCTTGCTTGGACAACTTTTTGTTTTTGTTGGGAAGATGGCACTTCTATCCACTTTTCTTGTTTCTCTCGAGATCCTTTCTCAGCATCCTTAGATATCTTACTTAAAGATAAAGTAATATCACCTGAGACTTCATTGGACAAGTCTAAAGAAGTCACCGAACTTACTGATTCATATCTCATACGTTCTTTCTCGCTCTCTGTATACTCAATCTTCTTCTGTTTACTCTTTTTCTTCGGCATTTCGATAATACTATCATCTTTCTTATACTCTTCGTCAGTTATTGCTAAATTAACAGGATAAGCTTTAGCGAATTCTTCAATAATCTCATCAGATGGTGCATTAAAAAATGGTGTGATTATTCTGGAAGACATTATGGGATTGAATTTGCAGTAATACTTTGTAATATCATCTAATAATTTTTCTTCTAGTAAATCTAAAGATCTGTTTTCCAGTACACTGCATAGATTTAGTGATATAAATTCCATACAGCATTGTTTTAGCTGACAAGCATTATAAGTGTGTGCGAACTGGCAAAGTTCTGTACAATTTTTCAAATTAATCAGATTAGCTAGAGCGACTTCGCACATTTCCCGCAGACGGCCGATAAAGAGCTGATCAGCTACAATCATCAGGTTACATATAAAGTCTATACTATCGCAGTTTTCTAGTTCGGGACATAAATCTGTGTAGAGGAAGTTGATGACAGGCAGTAGAATCCCATAGTTGATAGGCAACGTCACTTTTGACAGTAGTTTACTCTGAAAGTAAAAGGCTTATATTAGGAACAGAACATAAGCTTGTCTCTTCAAGTATTTCTAGTAAGTGGCAAGCATTTATTAAATCTTCTATAACATTCCAGCAGTAACCTTAGAAGGTAATAATAACAAAATATGTTGAAACATATAAAAAGTAACAAGATTCATGATGTTGTAATATCCTAAACACCCTTTTTAAGCCACCAGTAATAATAAAAAAATATTTTAGTAAGTTTTGCACTAACTATCACAGGACAACAGCACTATAAAGAGAAGGAAAACTTGTAACAAACTCTATAGAAACAGATCTGGCCATCATGGGCCAAAACCTCCTTTCTAAGAAGAGTCCTATGTCCAGTAGTGGACCATCAAAGGCTGTTGATGATGATTTAATTTTTTTAAGTTCTGATTAAAACTTTTGTTTAGTATAAATCGAATCCAAAGTTGTCTGTATACTGAGTGTTATCAATTTTTGAGATCTTACCTCAGTCCAAGAATGCATAAACATTCCGTTGAAATACTCCAGCCTTGCTGCTAATACGCACTTGTGAGCTGGTATTGAAACGTTATCCTTTGATACAACGCTTGTATCCACCAGTTCAGTGAGTGTCTCCCGTTCCCATGGCGATGCCATGTTTCGTGAATATGTAGCACTTTCTTTCAATCGAATATTACCATCTTTGTAACTGAAAAAATAAAAAAAAATATCTTTAGGATAGTGAAGCATAGGACCTTTGAGGATCCACAATTTCATCATATTCGTATCATAAACTCGATAAGGAGTTATATGCTACATTGATATTCAAAACTACATTTTGCAACCCAGTTTTCTGAAATAAGTAAAGACTTGAATCTGTCGTGTTGACTTGAAACCTTATTAAAGTTACACTTAACTTTAATAAGGTTTCAAGTCAACACTTAACTTTAATAAGAAGGTTTCAAGTCAAAAAACAGCCATTTGCAAATTTAATGGGTAAATTATACATTTCATAACATTTAATTTTCCTCATTTAAGTCTCTCTGAGTTCAAGGAATAAAACTTTGCATTTTAAACAGTGCTTCTTAAAACTATTTGTATTTATTTTAAGAGTGGATTAATCAGATCTTTGGCAACTGTGTTAAAACTTTTTTAATTATAACTTATTTCTTCTTGAAATTTAAAAGAAATATTGCAGAAATTAAAAATCTGTATCAATTAAATTTTTATCATAGCAAAACTTTTTGTAAGTAAACTGGAACCTTTCGAAAAATAATGACAGTGTAAATAATAAAAGAAATAGATCATTAAGAATAATAATAAGAATAGCATAATATTTTCACACAAGGCCGTCTGATTCCAAATTAGGCAGAACCTGTACTATGGTAACCAGACTGCTGATTAACATATATATGTTTCTAAATAATAATAAAGAAAATATAATATTCTACCACATACACACAACGCCATCTAGTCCCAAACTAAGCAGAGCTTGTACTATGGGTACTAGACAACTGATATAAATACATATATACTTTTTTTTATGTAATTACATACATATATTATACATAGAAACACCCAGACCAAATCAAACAAATGGTAAAAAAAAAAAGACGTGTGGCACTCGGGGACTGCCGCGGTAAAGCTATTGCATAGCATTTTGTATCAACTTATGCAATTATTATATATTAATTATTTATTTATTTTATTTATGCAGTATTTCTTTTTCTTTAATATTAATTCAAGTTACACTTTTTGAGCGTGGTGACCGATAAGAAAACATTTGTTTTTAAATAAATAAATAAAAAATATTATTATTAAATCAAATTACATATCCGTGTAAGATTTTTCTGCATTATGTTGACGAAATTTCCTTTGACGTTCAGCATTTGATTTTGGTACTGTTTTTTGTTTTGTTTTTAGCGTGAGGTTTTTTTTCGTTACGGAATTTCTGGATTCGGTCCCCGCGCTCAAGGCCCTCGATAGAAGCTATGCAATAGCTTAAAAAAAAAAATTCATGCACACAAATGTTTGACTTGAGGGGGAATCGAACCCGCGACCTTTGGAATAGCAGTCCGTTACACAAACCACTACGCCATCCGATCGTCAAATACAACATAATACATACATATTTTAGATAAAGTACACCTAGACAGAACAAATGACCATGCTCATCACACAATTATTTGTCCTGGGTGAGAATCGAACCCATGACCTCTGGCAGCAGTCAGGGTCACTAACCACTAGACCAACAGGCCAGCCAGCCAGAATAAATAAAAAAAACACTATATTTAGTAAATCTTTCGGCATTGTACAACTCGCATTTGTGCATAAAGAATTAAAATGAAAAATAAGTAATTTTTTTAAGAAAATAACAGCAAGGCTAATATTTCATACCTACAGACATCTTATTTTTTGACAATTGATTGACAAAACCAGTATTTTGTGACATGGGCTGACATGAAGAGTATAGTAAGATTTTGTTGAAATGTTTGGAGTTTCCTGAAAATATCCTCATTTAAAATAAAAGTACAGAATCTTTGAAGTTGACTACAATATACACGAAATGTTGTTAAGCAATTCTCAACCAAGAAAAGCGTTTTTATTTTCAAAACTAAAACCAACCAATCTATTTATACCTACTAGACTTTGAATAAATCTGGAGTGTGATACCATAACAAATCGAATAGTTCCTATGTATGTGTAAAAAAAATACATTTTCGTATGATTCACTTACAAGAACTTATCAAGCAATTTGTGGAGTGCCATCACTTGCAGTCGTTTAGCAGTGGCTTGAACGAGCTTGACGGGGTCACAGTACAGATGGATGCGCGGTGGGGTGTCTGTGTTGCGTCGGTGTCGACGCTTGGTCTTTTCGTCTTTTTTGTTGTACACTTCGAACGCTGATATTTCGGAGGGATTATCTAAAAAGTTATACCTATGTTAACATAAAAATGTTCATAGAATATAAAATAGATATACCCAAGCACTTTGAAAAATAAGGTGTTATTATTTAAAAAAGCCGTTGTCGTGTCAGAGTCATAATCGACGAGTTTCTGTTTATAATTTTGTTTTTAATCTAAAATTTATGTAAAAATACTATTTATTAATATTAGCATTTCGTAACCATAAATACCAAAAGACGGAGCGTTGTATGGTGGTCAGACAAACCGGTGAAATCATTGGATGCGGAAAGTCGTTGGATGCGGGAAGTCGTTAGATACGGGAAGTCATTGGATGCCGGCAGCAAAGGACCGGTTGTATTGGCGAACTTTGGGGAAGGCCTATGTCCAGCTTTTGGCTGAGATGTTGGTGATGAACCATAAATATACATCCTACACTTTATCACGTAGTTATATGTGAACTTACCAATAATTTCTTCTTCAACTTCAATATTTTCCTTCTCTTTCTTCCCTATCAATTCTTCCTTTCTAATCTTTAAGGCACAAGGCCCCAGTTCTGCTACATCACAAGTGCCAGTATACATGTATTTCATGACCCTATCGAACGCTTCTGGGTGGACATTCTCCAGTGCGATCTGGGGCTTGTCGCCTGGATTGGCGCAGGCATCTTTGTATAACTTGTAGAGGTATTCGCTGCTAGAGGCGATAATGAAAATGTGTGCTGGATACAGTTTTGTGCCGACCTAGAAGGAGATAGCGTTGTTAGACACACCATGGCAAGGACTAGCAATATATTGATAAACTTACAGACAAAAAATTCTGTAAGTATTCAGAAGGAATAAAATTTAAATAAGTAAGATATCGGATGAATGATTCATTAGTATTATTGTAGTTTCGGCTAGGTTGCACTCGCCATGCTAACAAGCTGACTCAGCCCAGTATTTTGTACTGATTTCGTAATCCCATTAATTTTCATAGAACTATATATCATGGAATGCAGAAATTCGTGAACCGTAGTAACCTGGCCGTAACTGCAAATAACATAGTTCACATTTTACATTTTCTTTAACAAACTGTAACAGCGTGACATTAATGACGTTAATACATTAAATATTTAATTTATCATTGAACTACGAATCTTAAATAAATTTTGTAATTTTATTAGTGATTAATATTTTTAACAACTACTTTCTCGTTTACAGTTCTAACAAACTAATTAATTAATCTATGACCTTAAAAGGCAAACATTATCTTACTAGTGGATTCCGAAACCATACCTTGAATATGACATCGTGTAGCAAATCATTATCTGTGGCACTTTCGCGAAGAGATTCCATGTGCTTGGACAGACTTGAGGGAGACAATTGTGGGAGTGACTTTAATCCACAAGTTGGTTTTATCTGAAACATAATAATTTTTGAGTGTTTAGAGTATGTGGAGTGTAATTATGTTTGAAATTATTTATACAAATAAATAAAATTTAAGTGTCTGTTTGTAATGTCTAAACAATAGGTTTTTTTCATGCTCACACAGTTATTTATACGATACCTATGCCTAAAAACCAGTTTAATTATTTTTTTCTGTCTGTTTGTTCTGGGTAATCTTCAAAACGGATGCAACGATTTTGATAATATTTTACTACCAGGTAGGGAATCGAAACCCGAGGCCGTCATGTCACAGTCCATGAGACTGTAGTCGCGTACCGTACTACACCAATAAGTCAGCGGTTTTTAGATTTCACGCGAACGTCGTCGCGAGTACCAGCTGGTAACAAATAATTCATATATGTCTTTGGTACAATGGACGTCATCGTCTTACAGATAAGACCTGGGGCAATATACTATGAGGATCGTGTCAATTAGGGTGAATTTCCGTGAATTTGAGCGATACATATTATAGAAATCCAATAGTTATAGGTTACTTAGGACCTGAATGTTTTTGTGTTCAATGTGCTTCCCTGTTTAATAGAGTGTTTGCCTATTTTTACTTCATTGTTGTCTCCTACTTTGCTAAGGAGGGAAGTGTATTTATTTTATTTCTAACTCCTCCAACATACTTTTAGATATAAAGTTAAACCTTTCCTGGGACTTCCCGAGTGTCATTACTCGCTGTGTTCGTGGGTCATGACTGTTGATCCTGGTGTAAAAGAGTTACAGTAGTGGATGTGTGGGATTGATTGGGCCCATATAACAAAACATAGACAAAACTAGAGTGACAGGCACAAGTAATAGAGTATACACACCTGTAGGCAAGCAAAGTTGTTCCCTTCACTATCAACAGAAACAGCCACCGCTCTATAAATATTAGAAATCTTAGAGATCTTCACAGAAGTACAGTCATCTTTCTCTAAAAACTTCACGAGAGCGGATCTGCCGTCTTTGTCGTTCTCTTTCTTGATTGGTTGCGGTTGGGCTATGGGCGAAGCTTTACGGGAGATGAAGCCAATGAACGCTTCGCCGTACTTAGTGGTGAAGTAGAGTGCGTCGTGGGTAAGTGAAACGTTGGTAACGATTGTTTGGTGGACGAGCCCGAATACACATCTGGAAAACGAAACAGAGAACAGTTATACCTCGAAATAGAAAAGAAATGTTTGAGCTAATTTTAATTTTTATGAATGAATTATTTGTCCTTGCTTGGTTGGAAATTAGTTGCTTGTACGTATAGTACCCCTTTAAAATCTTCAAGAAAATAGCGTTCTCCGGCAACGCGTTTGTGACTCCTGAATCGCAGACGTTCATGGGCGGCGATGGTCACTTTCCATCAGGTGACCCGTGTGCTTGTTTGCCCCCTCATAAAAAAAATGTTTGGAGAATTAAGCAATACTCGAGCAGGTCAAGTTTGTATGCCTGTAACCCGAATTAGCTGTTCCTGGAAGGTCTGTTTATTTTAAGCCTGGTAGGCGAATTTAAAACTTGGCTAGTGGTTTGCTATGCTTTTCGAATAAATAAACTCACATTCTCGTCTTAAAATTAAGGGAGTGTTAAAATTCGTTTCATTATATGTTATGTTTTTTTTATGATAAGTGTTTATGGTTTGAGTCTCTCAACAGGTTTTGGCTCCGGTAAGGTTCCGTGAGTTCACTGACTCGGCGAAAAGCTACGAAAATATTGCTCAACACTGGTTTTCTGTGAGGTCGTGGTATCCGATGAGCCGGTCCATATTGCCGAAGCATGGGTCACCCACGGTAAATATATATAATCTTACCTAGTAAGTTTGTTGGTAGTGTCCTGCCATATGAAGAGTTGTCCAACATTGGTCAACAATAACACGGTGACTCGCGAGTACACGCCCACCTCGCTGACTTTAGCCTCGACACATACTTGACGGAGATTTATTTGCCTGTAAATGACACAACACACAAATAGTAATTAAATCTGGTAATTAATTCTATGATAACCACAATAGAGATCATGTTATATGAATGATTTTGGGAGACAATATGGGCGAGTATCCTTCTAACTAGTCTAGAACAAACAAACGGAGATTTGCACAGAAATTTATAGTAAAGCCAACTTGGTAATATTGTTAATGTAGATTTTGTTAATTAATTAACTTCCTCTGGAGCTGTCGTTTATTGTGAGCTGTGAATTTTTAGAACAACTCTAATTGACTATTAATATTACTGTAAAAAATGGTTCATGTAACTAATGGGCCATCCATAAATTAACTAACTACAAATGTAAGTGTACTAACTTGATAGCAATCTTCTTACAAATGTACTTGTGTAACAAATACACATCACCGCGACTTGTGCTGATGACTGTGGCGGCCTCGCCGACGTCCACCAGCTCAATACCAGCTTCCTCCTTATTATTCACATAAAATGTCACCTGTAATTTAAATGAAGGATTATACAAATTATTTGAACAGAAATTATAGTAATAATAATAACTAGACATACATTGGATATATAAACACCGTCATGTAAACACAAACTAGTGTGAGCCTGTAATATGGTAACCAGACCGCTGATAGTCATTATATAATTATATTATTACGTAAAAATACGTGTCCACTAACCGATCCACTTTCATGCTTGCAGTACGGAAGCTCTATAGAGACTTGTTGATGAAGTCATCAGAATAACACTTAAGAGTATCTTTATTATCTATGTATTATATACAAAATGTTTTGATATTTATATTTATATGTGTAAACTATATGTATGTATATCTAGTACCTATATATCTGTGGGTTTTTTTTCTCCTTTTGTAACATTCATTAGTTCAGTCTCATTCTTGCCTGTCTCAAATATACACCTGCCACACACAGCTTTGCAACATCCAAAGGTTTGACTGGAAGAAAATGCCTGTGGCATTAAGTCCGCCTTGCGTAATATGTTTTAAGAAAGTCTCAATAAATAAATAAAAAAACAATGTTAGCGGATCAAATAAGCAATCCCCAATCTGAAGCAATCCCTCACAAATATATTTTAGAATTGTATTTGGTATTTGATAATATTGTGAGTAATAATACTTTATTTCTCATAAAGTATTATTGTGACGTCTTCCGCATGGAATGAAACAAAGATACATACTACAGCGCCATCTATCGAAGATACACCGAACTACTGAGTAACGACTAATGTAATTCTCTAGCCGCGGCCCGCCAGGCATGACCTCGCCTTTGCGGGGGATCCTCCCTTTGCGTGGAGGTACAAGACACCCGTTTCTCCACATTACTATACTAATACTGCACTCATATTTTTAAACTATAGTAATATAAAAATGCTTAAGAAAGTTATCAAAAATGGGTTAATAGGGACTTACCCGTTTAGGTGCAGAAACAACCTTATCCTCATTGGAATGTCCCAGCTGTCCCATATTAATGCCCCAAGTATAAACCGCGCGGGTGTTCCACACAACCGCATGATAACGAGATGCGCGGATGCCCAAGGGGTTGGACAACTTGATCAAAGGCTTTATAGAAGGTAATTTTATTGAGGAAGGAGCCTTTATACTCGATTGACTGACGTTATCGGTACTGTTTAGGGTGTATTGTAATACCTGGAATGGAAGGCGAAAAAAAAACTTAAAATGATGAGTGTCGGATAGATTTGTATGTTTTTTTTTTAGAAAATGCTTGCACTTTATTATACTCACATATTTTACTAACGACTTAATATTCCTTCAATATTTACAAAATATTTGATACCTTAAAAACGTTGAACAGAATTCCTCGAATGATACCTAAGAGCACTCTCGATCGGATTACTTTTCCAACCAAAACACAATTGGTCCATCCATTTAGGAGATATGATCCTACAGAATGACATACAGGTGTAAAGGTTCAACTTTTAAGATTTATAAGTTGGGCTTTCAAATCAATTTTTTACGCATTACCCAAATGCATTTTTTATATTATTATGAGTACCAATATTTCGCCATTTCTACATACCATTCCGCTCTCCATTAAAAATATAGTAGAATTCAGAGTAATGGCGATAGCAGCACACGGTTCTGGCAGTCTCAATGGAGTAGGACTCAAGGCGGTCGCGTGCGGCCCTCCAGCTCGCGCCAACTGGCCACAGCACCACGCTTCTCCCACACCACATAACCAGACACTGTGAAACTTCCCTAAGCACACCTGAAATGATGTAAAAGTAATATATTTTATTAAAAAGCTAGTATTTGCAAGCGGCTTAGCTTGTATTAAAATTTATTTATATTATTATTTTTCAATTTATTCTCTTTTGTACACTGAAAAAGTGTTGAGGATACGCAACAAATAAACAAACATATTTTCACAATTATATTATTAGCTAGAATTATTAACTTCTAGGTCATAAACTATAATCGTGGGAGAGCTTTGGAACAAATGGGCAGGTTCAACGGGAGCCGGCCTCACAGAAAACCGGTGTTAAGGCATATTTTCTTTGCTTTTCACTGAGTAAGCCTGATCCCCTGCATCATAAAATATAAATATAAATCAATAAGGTCTCCAGATAAGATCATCTTAGTGTTGAATATAGGTACTCCTTACATGAATATGATTAGATTCAAATACCCACATTTTCTGTATCGCGAATTCAAAGCAATTAACTGAACCGGGGTAGTTAAAACCATCCTATTTTGCCAGTACCATAGTACAGATCATTTTTTTGGAGGCAGTAGGGTCATCAGAGCTCCATGGAGAAGGTCAGTCAAAATTAAACAATCAGGTACCTAAGTATATATAAAACTAGCTGACCCGCGCATCTTCGTCTGCGTCTCTCAATAGTAATAAATTTTCTCCGTTTTTGAAACATTCTTCATTGGTGCTCCGCTCCTATTGGTCTAATCCCACCCACACGCCCACCACTGTAACTCCTGTACACCAGGATCCACAGCAGTGACCCACGAACACACCGAGTTATGACACTCGGGAAGTCCCAGGAAGAAATTAAACTGTCTTGGAACCCGCAACGAAACCAATCAGAAGAAAATCGGAGGAGTTGGAAATACAGCAAATCCACTTCCCTCCCTAGCAAAGCGGGAGACAAAATGAAGTAAAAATGGGCATACACCCTTTTAAACAGGGAAGCACCACGGCCACAAATATTACGGGTCCTACGTAAGCTATGTTTGATTTCTATAATATGTATGGCAGAATCGCCTAAACGCACGGAAATTCACCCTAGTTGACACAAGATCCCCATAGTATACCGCCCCAGATGTCACCTGCAAGCTATTCAGCATTATATTACGTTCATTATACCAAAGACTACATTCCCAGAGGATATGATGAGCAGACTGTTCATAGTGAGAGTTAGGTGTTGAGCATTGACACAATGGTGACTCGACTAATTTAAATGAATAAAGCTTGCTCTTAAAGTTACCATGACCCGTAAGAAATTGAGCGACACAGTGATCCACCTCAAGCCATATCCTCGACAACCGTTCGCGAACAGATGGAAAGAATTGGTAAAGATGGCGCCCCTTGGATGATTCATCCCAGCGTTGTTGCCATTCGTGTATGAGGTCGTTATAGACATCGGGCTGCTGTTGAAGCAATCTTGTAATTTTACCGCGATCCCGCGCGCCCAAAAAATCGCATTCCATGTTTTGTTGTCTTGAATAGTACATGGCTGCACGTCTCTGCACCTCGAGATCGACCGGAAGCACACCCGCCAACACCGGCAAAGCCTCAGTGCTAACCGTCCTATATGCCTTACACAAGAATATCAGTGCAAGTCGTTGGCCTTGTAACAGTTTGCGACGGACAGCGCCTACGGTCGCCCTATCGGCCCATACAGGTGCACCATAGCACATAGAACCTAAATAAGTAGCTCCGTATATGATCTTTAATGTATTAAATGATAGACCCCATGTCGCAGTTGATATCCTTGTCAATGCACAGAAACTCTTTTTAGACTTTTCATTAACTATTTTAATATGTTCGATAAATGAAAAGTTTCTTTCTAAAACTAATCCTAGATAACACACTGTGGTTTTATTTTTTACAGTAACATTGTTAAATCTAATGCTCGGCGGTGATTTGAGGTTACCTTTTAAAAGTAGCTGGAAGGTTTTGTTGGGTGCAAAAGTTAAGCGATTACGTTCACCCCATTGAGATATCAAGTTCAAACATCTATTGGCTAATCTCTCAAGCCCCGCCCTAGTATCAGATTCCACCAGTAATAAGCCGTCATCAGCATACGCGTTCAGAGTACATCCGGATGGTATTGGTATCGCAAGAAAATCGTCGAAGCCGATATTCCACAAGTATGGACCTAGCACCGATCCCTGAGGACATCCCATTGTAAGCGCCTTCGACACAGAATGATGACCAAGTCTTAGTTTAGTTGTACCTTGTGAAAAGTACGAAGAGATAAGGGAATAAATATTTTTAAAGCACCCCCGTGATTTTAATTTCAGCAACAGCATGGGCCACCATGCGTTGTCGAAGGCGCCAGATATATCTAAGAAAATAGCCAGCACGTATTGAAATTTTGACCCTGTGACAAACTTTCTAACCGATATAACAGCGTCAGTTGTCGATTTACCCAACGTAAATCCAAATTGTCTATCATGAAATTTGACTCCACCTGGCAGAAGCCGGGGCACTACAAGACGTTCTAAAAGCTTTCCCAACGATGGTAACAATGTGATTGGTCGGTAGGATTTAGGATCATCCGGTGGCTTGTCGCCACTTTTTGGTATTATACGAATATTACCGCACCGCCATATACGAGGAAATATTCCTTCAGCAATGCAACGTTTAAAGACAGTGAAAATCGTGTCACCCGAAAGTTTACAAGCTTCTTTTATCATTTTGTTAGATATTTTATCATCGCCCGAAGCCTTGTTTAGCGGCAAGGATCTAATGATACCGAGAAATTCGTCTGAAGATGGTAAATCAGACATTGGAGATAGTGGTGGTTCGATGGCCCACTGCCTGATCTGTCGGTGATGATCAGTGTCGTTCTCCGGTCGATCGTCAGGTACGAGTGAGTCTAAAAGATATTCTGCTGTTTGTTCTACTCCTGTGGTATATCTGTTATTAATTTTGATGTTCTGTATGTATGCAAGGTCGATTGATCTATTTGCTTTAAATTCGTGATACAAAGGTGACCACGGGCCCTCTCTATCGAGTTTATCAACAAGTTTCTGAATTAAGTTTCCCTTGGATTTTTCCACAGCAGCTCTGTAGTGGGACCTGGCAACTCTAAGAGCAATGAGAGCATTGTTGTACAAATCTCCTGTTACGTTATGTTTTTTAATAGTGTTTAATTTTCTACGAGCTTTCCGGTAGCTTCTACGTAGTTCGGCTAATCTATCATTCCACCAATCACATCTACGAGTGTTAGTGATAGATCCGCGACCAATAGTTACATCAGCGCAGTATGTAAAAGTTTCTGATAGTATTTCTGCGCTTTCCTCAGCTGATAAACTACTGCGACTGAAGTCTTTGGTATGAGTTGCAAAGAGTGAACCAAACAAAGCCCAGTTCGCACCTTTAGTTTTATATCTAAAATTATAGGGAGCCTTTTGTGGATCCTGTGCAACCCTTGGTATGAATTCGTACACGATCAAGCGGTGATCACTACAGGATGCGTCCGGAAGGACACGCCATCCGGATATCGAGACGTCGCCGCGCGTAAGCGTCACGTCAATAGAAGACTCACCCATTGGGTTGCAAAAAGTTGGTGGTGCATCGGGGGTATTGTGAATAATAAGATTCATTTCCGCAATGAAATCTTCAACCGCACAACGTCGAACCGTGTCGGTTGAACGCAACTTGCCATACCATAATGAAGATGACGCATTGACATCAGCGCCAATGATAATTTTATGTCCCACGAGGAACTGCAAGACGTAACGTAAGTGATGTAAGTGAGGATCAATAGGATGTGAATATTGAAAATAGCAGCTCACTACGTAAACCTTACAGGTAGAGGATGAGATCTCAGCAACGGCGCAGTGTGACGTCATAAGATTACGCAAAGATGTTACCGTAAAATTAGAACTTGCAACATATATCCCAGCCTGCGAACGGCAGTCAAGCTGTACTACATTACGACGCAAGTGAGCGCTCTGATATTGTTCTTGTAAAAGGACAATGTCTAACTTTTGTTCTAAAATTAAACGGTCTAATTCTGATGTAGCTATTTTATCGTTATGAAGATTTAACTGGCCTATCGAAATATTATTCATTACTTAGTAAGTTCCTCTTTAAACTTTTTTTTTTTTTTTTTTTTTTTTTTTTTTTTTTTAAACTAAGTTAAACTATTCAGTAATTGGTATTTAATATTAGCTGTTCCAGTTTTAATTTGTATGTGGCACAGTCGTATGAACCGCATCGATGGTCAGATGGTTTTTTGAACCGCTTACACTGTGCGCACGTGGGCTTAAAATCTGGTGTGTCTTTATCTGGACAAGCTCGCGTTTCGTGTGCGGCGGCGCAATTAGCACAAGTAGGGGTTTTAATGGTGCAAAACTTTTGTACATGACCGAATTGCTGACAATTTAAGCAACGAACTACTTCTATATCGTCTATGAATCTACATGTGGCCCAGTCTATATAAAGTTTATCTTTTGTGTTGGCTAGATGTTTCCGAACTGCTGCCTCTAATTCTAAGCCTATCCATTGACGCCCATTTTCTAGTTTACGATGCCTAACAATTTTGGCTGACTTAATAAAATCGTTCTCACTTAATTTTAATTCGTCCTTGATATTCTGACGGTATAAGGCTGTTAGGAAGGCACGATCTTCCATAGAACCGGGTACGTCTTTTACAATTATACGGGGCCTACGGCCTTTCGGTTTTTCTAAGCGCAACCCTACTGATTTAATGGCGTCCACAGATTCCAGTTTCTTAAGCTGCCGTTCGTTAGCTACACGTAACACGACGCCTGCCTTAGAGGTTTTTTTAACGCCTACAATTTGAAATCCCTCATCGCTCGGTTTAATAGCCTTCATGAGAGCTTGTTTTGTTGCTGACGAGGTCGCATAGTCCGCTAGGCGTTCCGTAGTGGGATAGGCAATGACACAAGGCCTAGGAACGCGCGCTTCAGTAGGTACCGGGCACGGAGCAGATTTAGGTGGTAATCGAAGCTTAAGTTTGTCCGCGTACGTTAAACTCGTTTGTTGAGTTGCGATACCCT